ATCTCAGTCGTTCCAAATAAAAGCACACCGCATCCTAACCTCAAATCGAAGGTCGAATCGCGCCGTGTAATCGTAGACACTCGAAGCGCGTGGTGTAAACAATACGTTCCGCCTGTGAGAGAAGCACTGCACGAGCCTCAAGGTCCAAACGCGATCGGTAGGAACGCAAAAAGGAGTTGTTAATGGAAGTGGAGTTCCATCGGGCGCGAGCGAGCTGGCCAAGTATATAAGGAAATCCAGTCGGGGAATTATGCAGATTGTAGGTTGGAATCCATCTGCTGATGGCTCGGACAGGGCATACTCGAACCTACGTGAGTTCATCCACGGCACAGGACCAACTACCCATCAGTTCTGCCTGTCGGTTTCGTTGCCTCCACTAGCAGGACGTTCCTCTTTCTTCTATCTGTACTTTTGGCCTCTCCATCCTTTCCTTCTACAGTATACGAAACGGTACGAGGGAAGCAGGAGGTTGGTGGAAGAAGCTTGATCATTTCCGTGGAATTACGGGGCTGTGAACGGTACAAAGTTATCTAGGGAGAAAGGGGGAAGAGTTAAATTAATGAAATCGCGACGCGCAAGCCACGACGCGCAGCTATTAGCCTGGAATGTTCAAATTGTTCCTGGCTTACGGTCGAGGTTTTATGATTGAACTTTGAACCTATCTTTTGCGTTAGAAAAGACGATATCCCTGTAAAGTTCTGGCAGCGAGGATTTGGTCGAGTTCTTTGGTGATTACACGGGTAACTATGCGAAGAATGTTCGATAAAATTCCCTAGGGAATTGGAATGGCACGGTTGGCTGTGTGATTGGAGAAACAAGTTTTGGAATCTGTAGTAGAATTGTTTGCGTGTAGCACGGTCTGTATCGTTAGAGAGGAAGTTCAATGTCCTTATAAAAATTCCCTGTGGGGCTTACGGTTGGTTATACTACTAGGGAAAATTGTAGAATGCTTTCTGAATAAATACTTGAGAAAGCTTTACGGAAATTTGTCGATACTCTCATCAATCAAATTTATAGTAATATATTGCGAAATGTATAATTAAATTTCCTATAATACTTAGTTACACCTTCATAAGAATATAATTCTTTAAAAAATGCTATAAATGCAACAAATGGTTTCTACATTGTTTTTGGCAAACTGTCAATTACACAACGGAATTTATTATATAAATATCTCTACATTATTCAGGCATTGTACATTGTGGATTATAACTCTCTCTGAAAGTGTTAAATTCCTGTGTTCTCAATTAAATTATCTGGATACAGATCAGAGGAGATCGATGGTATCGTAATGTTCAACTGACGAAACGATGTAAAGGCAAGAGGAGAAGGGACGATAGACGAGGATAGAAGAGAAAGGATAAGAAGGGAAAAGTTCTCCAGAGCGACAGGATGATGGAAATTTGCGCCCAGTGAACCTTGTCCCGGAGCGTTGGGTTATTTCTCTATTTTCATTCTTCTAAGATAACTCTGGTCTGCTCGTGATCCGGTTTACCTATCTCGTCCAATAAATATCGGGACATCTCGTGAAAACTTCTGTTTAAACACGCTGAAATCGCGTACACAAACAGATTTCTCTAATAATCAATGTTTTCTATGCTGTATTATAATGAACCGTTGTCATCGAACCGTTAAGTGCTCTATGTTGGGAAGACTGTTACTTTTACTGACGAGTACTGATGACAAGACACACATATGCATATCTTAATAAATGGTTGCTTCATGGATTAACTGGAACCTAACCTACATATGTATGCAAATTCTTCTTCTATTACTCCTATTAAATTCCTATTTCTCTAAAACAGTTAACCACACACAGATACCAAACGTAGTAGCGTAGCATCAGTAAAATAGAAATCTTTCGTCAAGTGTTTAAATAATGACTAAGAAGTTTCTAACTTGAAACTGTTTTTAAGATAATCACAAATCATGATTAAAAAAATTATGTAGAGATTCTCATTGAATCGGAAGATATATGTTGTTCACTTGCCACTGCTAATTAACTGGAACCTAACCTACATATGTATGCGAATTTTTGTTTTGATATTCGTACTTCAAAAGCGTTAACTGCACGGAGAGACCAAAATTAATAGTTAAACAGTAATAACATAGAAATCTTCCACTAGGTTTGTAAATAATAATTAAACAAATAATCACAAATTACGATTAAAAGAAATGATTTAGGGAATTTCGCTGAATCGTAAAATACGTCGTCCACTTGACACTGGTAGTCCTGTCGGTGAATTGAGGGGACCGGGTCACATGCAATAAGAAGCTCGACAAAACAACAATGACGGCGCCAACCTGATCGTCGCTTGTCCTTTGACGTGTTCGAGAAATCGCGAGCGTGAGCATGCGCGTCAGAGAAATCGGGAATTCAGGTAGTGGTTGAACGAGAAGAAGCGAGTGTGGCTTGGTCGCTCGCGGGAAAGGCTCGACGGGGAACGAACGAGTCG